AATTATAGAGTATATTATTTTATTTCCAAGTTTGTTGGGACCAAAGGTGAGAGTAGCTATGTGTATAGTATCCTACCAACCAACTAAAACCAATCAACTCTAACAACATCACAAAGTTGAATTCAGTAACTTAAAAAGCCAATAGATAAGTCTCTGTTATATGGTTTAAATTTTCAATCGCAGTTCAGTTTTTTTACATGAAGCTATGCTCATCAAATGTAATCGGTTAGTTATTGTCTTATATCCTTTTCAGTTAAGTAACGTAGTAATGGTTAGCTATAAGAATTTTATGAAATCTATATTGAAACTAGTTATTAATGAGTGTATGTATATTGACAAGTTAAGTGATTCTGTCAGTGTTTTATGTAGTTTGAAAGTGAACTAACAATAGTTTTTTGGAATATATCCTAAGTGTCTCACATCTTGAAGAAATAAACTTAATATCAGTAGAAAGTTACAGAAGTCAAAGGATCCATAGAAAATCTATAAATTGAAAATGTTTGCAAATACTTATAGCATTTCATTTGCGGCCTAGTAGCACAGTTGGTTAGCGCGTTAGTCCCTATAGCATTTCATTTGAACATTTTCATTGTTAATTATGAATCTTTACTGCTCTAAAAACTACAAATACATAATGCACATAAATTTTTATAAAGTACTTTGCAAAAGTCCTTGAGTTTATATTTTTTTTAAAAAAAGAAGAGATTGGAGATTATCTTTCTATTTGATTTGATGGGTATCGAATTTCTCATTCTTATAACATGATCCTAATCAATGGTGATATATTCTGAATAGTAATTTTTAGTTATACCATGGCTTCATGAAACAAATCAATGTAAGGTAGGCTTAAAGATAATTCAAAAATAATTAATATCAAGCTGTAATCCGTATACTCATGATTATTTGTGAATAAAAAGAAAGTGATAGTATCTAAAATGTAATAGTTATATTTGATTTAATCTGGAAGCTGGTCAGAGACAAACTAATTGGCTAGTTGAAGAGTGTATTCAAGTAGGTTGTAGGGTGTATTATCTTCCTCTAATTTATTTTATTAAAATTAAGGTAAACATAGGTTTAACGGCTAACGAATTATGTGTGGTGGTTATTGAAAGGCTACTTTTTTTATTCCGTTACTGTATTGATAGATTACAATTTGATCAATAGTAGAATGCATTAATATTATTGATCCTTGCTACACGTGATTCAACTGATTTGGGGAAAGAGACTGTAACAAAACTAGTGTGTTGATCAAGTGATTAAAAAAAGATTTGGTTAAAAGTGAAACACTATTATTACTCATATTGATGTAAAAATCCATCTCTGGCTTCACTGTCGGTTATCATCCTGTTTGACCATATGGATATTCTTTCATGTCTGACTAATAGTCCCTTTTTTCAGTTTGATCAGTTATGTCGTTAAGTTTCCTATAGCCTTCCAATCATTATTCTGACATTGTCAATACCCATATGCGCAAATGCATACAAACAAGTATAATACGTTAATACACACATTGAACAGTAGATATACAAACACATGTTTCCCAAACGAACTGACGATATCCAATTATTTAAGTGATCTGTCCTTATACACTATGCCTACACAACTTAGTAAATGGATTACTGTACGTGCACGTGTGTTAGTATGTGCGGTAGATGCGTGTGCATGTGAGTGAGTGAGTGAATGAGTGAAAGAGTGTGTGTGTGAATATAACAAACGACGAAGCGATTTCACGCTCTGTCGACATGAATAATATAAACTGGCCGAATCCCATGTGACCCATTCTCGGTGAAACACACTCGTCTTTATTAATAACATTATCATATCAGTTAAATAACAAAAGACAAACATTTTTGGGATTTGATTGATTTCTTGTTGTTGTTTTTTTTTAAGAGAAACAGCTGAGGGCTACGAGAGAATAAGAAAAAAAATTAGGCAGTAATCTAAACGACCGAACAAACAAACAAATAAACAAACAAACATGAAACAACAAACACCACACAAGCAACATTCCAACATTTCTACAACTCAGGATAATACTATTTCATCTAATATCAATAGATATACTTATTCAATTAACAATAAAGGACAAGAGAAGAAAATTATTGCATGTCGACATAAATCATCAAATATAAATAATCAACTAAGAACGAATGAAAAATCTGATCACAAATTATTGACCAATCAAAAAATGACTGGAATAGAAAATGTTATTCATGTTGCATCTGATTCACATCCATGTCAACAAAAATCGCCATCGCCATTATTATCATCTCCTCTCCTTATTCAAAATAATAATAATAATAATAATAATTCAAATCGTTATCATTTAATGAATTCAAAACAACGTATGAAACATAAGGATTTATCTCGTTCGTTTAAATCACCTGTATCTAATGAACATGAATGTAAGTTAAAACAATATGGATTAAGTACGGATAATAGTCATCGTGAAATAATTCCAGGAAATCATACAATATCACTAGCACCGACTACTACTACTACTTGTAGTAGTAGTAGTAGTAGTAACATAATGACAACAATTAATACAACTAGTTCAGAAATTCATGAACCTACATTTTATAATCAATCTGAAAATATTGAAAGTAAGTATGAATCTTTTAGAAAATTAAATGATAACTTTGAAATTTATGAATGTTTTACATATTGATCGTTCTAATGATTTTTTTCTGAATTGAGACTCTTGACCATCCATTAGAGTTACTGAAATTTGATATTACGAAACAAACCATAATAGATATTATTATTTATAAGGCATTCCATTTTCTAGTTTATATCATAGGTTGAATTTAGTTAGATAAATATTACAAACCAGAAGCATTGGACAATTGTTCATCCGAGTATGGGAATTCTCCGAATTGCTCATCCACTACATGAATGGAGATTGAACTATAAAACTTTTCCTCTCTAATGATTATGTGTAAATTATAAAGTTTGACAATCTCCAATTATCGTTTGTGTTGCTCATTTTGATTTAAACCGTTCCGGTTATTTTATTCTTTGGAATTTTAAACAAGTACTTTCTGATTTATAAAAATAAAATAAGTTATTTCCATTGAAATAGAGATATTTTTAATTGATTTATATTTTTTTAAAGTCCTCATTATTAATGAAATCATAATGGATAGTAGAAGTTAATCATAAGAAATCCAAATAAAAATCAATTCATCGTAACAACAATGTTTACTATTTAGAAAATATTTCCTTACCTAACTGTCATTTAATTTATGCATGATAATCATGAGTTTTGTTTGAACACATGTTAGAAATTATATCGTTACATATACTGGATAAATGAGTTCATTTTCATATAAAACTATCAGTTAATTATGTTATATTTTATTATTTCTGTATATCATGAACTTATTCAATAGGAAGCATAAAAATTGCTTTGATATTTTAAATAGTAATTTCCTATGATAAAGTGATATCAACCAGTGAACCAATGAAAATGGTTCACTTTATCTGTAGAGCTTTAGATTTTATTACACGCTGGACTCATTATCTTGCATATATAATTTAAATTAGAACCTTCAAGATTCATAGTAAACATGATACTACTGTTGTGTTGTGTATTTTGAATTTTTATTAAGACATTAAAAGGTTATTGTTAATTTACCTGCTAGTATCTTAGTACAGTGACTGAACTTTATTTCACCGTTATCTAAATAATTCAGTCTCATTTTGTTAGTGTTGAATGATTGAAGAAATTCGTTAGAAATATGATAATTTATGTTTAGCAATTTCTGAGTAGTTAATCCGAATTAAGTATACCGAGTTTCGAACAGAAGAATGCTCAATCAGTCACTTAAAGGTGACATTAACAATTCATATTAGCGAAATTAAACTAATTCAACCTGTTGGAGACGTTAGATCCCAAGAACTCACTTGGAAATGGTCCAAATTTTGTAATTTATATCTGTAATTTTGAATTTCTATGTTTTCGCGCCAGTTGACCTTCAGTTTACATTTCCGACTGGGAAAATCCTTGACTGTCACTGGTTGACAGATTTTTTTAGTACTCTATTTTGTGGCTGTCGTAAGGGCGTTTTTGTTATTGTATAAATAAGCCTGGTTAGTGTGTTTAGCAACATCGAATTTTCTAGGTGCTTGTAGAATACATTCTCTACTCCTTATCAGGACCATTGATCGACACAGAGTTTGGACGTGAATTATTGGATCGCGGACACTTCAGAAGTGCATACGTTTTTGAGACGAACTCCTTTTGATTCAGTTCTCTTGATAAAATGGGTATATGTAATTGGGGAAGATCACTTAAACAACAAAAAAAAATTCACAGAAATGATAATAGTTACATATAAAATGAGTCTTTTTTTAAAAATTAGACCAAATATAATTTTAGAGAATAACTAGCGTTACATGTAAGAAGTAACTTGAAAATCAAATTATGAATGAATAGCAATTGACTTAAGGGTAATAATTTTAACTTTGTTTTGGTGAAACGTACAGCGAAATTAATCAGATTGGTTTCTCTTGTTCAACAGGCCGAATTCAAGTTTATTGATAAATTTGAAAAAAAATTATTGCTTCGTATTGATTGATTTTGGAAGAAAAGTAATGTAATGTTGTTGACCAATGACAGTAAACTTGAATCATAGAAGTGAAATAAAAAATCGATCAATAAAAAAAACCTACCAGTCAATTGAATCATCATAACAAAGTTAAAAATAATTAGTTATAGGAAATGAAATCCAAAAGCTATAAAAACTAAAGGTTGAAAACAGTAATCGATAATGTTTGATAATTGGAAATCTATGCAAAATTGATGATTCTTTGTGTAGAGATTGTGAGAACAGTAACTTTCGTAACGATGTTGTAAACCCCTATATTCTGAAGCGATTGAGATACGTAATATTCATGTTCAGTTACTTTTGGCTACAATGAACTGTGCTGGATAGAATAAGAGCAGATTAGGGATAACTAAGATAAGATAAATCAAGTTGTAACATATGTGGATAGTGTCAATGTGTGTTGTGTACTGGGATAAAAATGACGATCTGCTCCATGAGATAGTAGAAGGGAAAAGGTGAAAATATAGAAGATATGTCTCAAAATCGAGTTTATCCGCTTCATACTCCTTTTGATCTTGACCATAATATTATATCATCAATTACAGTAATACTTTTTATTGATTTACTTTGTTACTCGTGGATGTCCTCTCGTAGTGCAACTACGAATTATTTAAAACTAAACTGATATACATTTTGCACTAGCATTTAAACATTTGATCACTACCCTTTCAGGTTTTATGTGAACTTTTTGATGTATATGTGTGTATTAATTGACAAAACGTTTGCTAAAATTAATGAAATTTAAAATGCTTACTCTCACTGTCGCAAATGATTTATGACGTAAAATTCGATTTCATTCACTTGAAGATAATGAATACTCACATTATTGTGTATATTTTACAAATTAGTTAACGCAAAACCATTTTATAGATCTTATTGCATTTACCGCGCCAAAAACATCTGGAAAACGATAAGAATATCGAAGGTTTTGACATGAAAATAAGTCAGATCATCAATACGTTACTCCTACAGCAGCAATACAATCTTAACATGATCCAACAGTTTTAAATTATGTTTATCTGAGTACACTAAACTACACTAAGTACAAATTGGAACAAAATTCTACTAAATTAATTCTCTTGTTTTACGTTTAATCGCATACAACTCAGCATACAACTATTCTGTAATCATCTTTTTAATCAAGATGAATTTGTTAGAGAACAGCATATATTTAAGTCTTAATTAGAAAAGAAAAACTATTAAGAAAGCTTATCACTTTGAGTATCTTACAAAGTTTTTCTCATTTTTTTTAACAGACTCCTAGTATAAATTTTGTTCATAACTAAATATGATAGAAATCTATTCGATGAATTTCAGAAAATTAGTTTTGATTTAAATTTTGATAAATAAATAAATTAATATTTTAGAAAAAAATTATTGTTCAATTATTTATCTGTATGTAGTATTTTTAAAATTGCACTTTCGAATTTGTAGAAGGAAAATCTATGATCTGAATAGAAATATTATTCTTCATTTTTTGTAATTCAGTATTTTTATTTGAAATCACAACCCCGTAATGCAATTACTTGTGTTCACTAGTGACTAGCTCCGTGAGGAATCTTCTCCGAGTTATAGTGAGAAGTCGTGACCAGTGAAGTCCAACCTGTTTCGGGTGTAGACAGTAATTACCGAAGACAGTGTATGAGGTTTCTCAGCTCCGTGAATTGACTGAAGTTAGATATTTACACCGTTAGATACCGGTCAGCTCAGTGATCCAGAGGTTAGGCGTTTGCGCACAATACCGAACGTCCTGTGTTCGAATCCTGTGAAGCGCAAGAGTCGTGGATGCCTGCTGTTGATGAGTACCATACCAGGACGCAAAGGCCGTCCAGTGCTTACAGGTTTCTAATAGTGGTCTAACATTGATCGATTTCATGATTTCAAACGTGTAACTTGACAATCTCCACAACTCCGTAATGAAATATTTTTGTACAAGATTAATAATTATTAAGATTATTATTAGGATGTTTGTGTTATACACAGTGAATATCAATGTTAGTTAATGTATATGAAGAAAACAATATCAATGATTATTAAAGTGAATAAGAATGGTTAGAAGAATAACAGTGACAAAAACAACAACAGGAAGTCGACTATTGTTACATTCTTAATTTGTGTCAACTCAATAATATACATCTATCTGTCTAGTTATCTATCTGTCCGTTGTCTTAAACGGTGTCTCAATTTAAGAGCATTCGATTTTGTGCACATATTTCACCACTGAATCTTTGAAAGGTGAAATACACTAATGCTCACATTTTCAACCTTATTCAATTCAACATACAGATTAATCATCTTTAATCAATATTATTGGGTGAGTTACAGCTTGAATCACTCATAATCATAGCGAGTTCATGGTGTCTCCGAAGCATTGCTCGTGTATCCTGGGACAACCGAGTAAGCAATGCTGTTATTAGGAAATGGGTCCTAGGCAAGGATGGCTGGTCAATAGATGAAGCTTTGAACCTTCATCAAGTGAGGTGGTTCGGACATGTGTTGCGTATGCCTAACCATCAACTGCCTCGTCGAGCTATATTTTGTGGTGTAAGAATAGGTTGGACGAAAGCTAGTGGAGGGCAAACCAACATAGTTTTACGTTGCTATTGATTGATTGATAGGGAATTCATAACAGAGTATTCTGAGAATTTACTTCCTTAATAAGTTTAAGATGGTGAATAATAGAATGGTAATCATTTTTACAACATTTGTCTGTGATATTTTTTCGTTGTTGTTGATGATAATTCATTGATCTTTCGTTTGAAGATTTCATGAAATTATTTTTAGCAGTGAAGAAATATTTTTCTTCTAAAAAAATATTAGTTATGAATGAATGTTAGTCGAATTAGATATGAAATTTTGAATGATCGGTTAAAAAGAATTTTTTTTTAAACTAAAAATCTATAAAAGGAAATCAATTATTGACCATACTTCTGGATGATTTCGAAATTTTCATTAGTAAGAAGTGATTTAGTTCAAATTTATTGATAAATCAT